TACCTCCTGAAAAAAGCACTAAGTTCTTAAACAGCCAGCTTTGACTGACGGACAGACAGACAAACAAACGAACAAACAGAAGTCCTGCTATTCATCTCCAGGAAATAGCCTAAGAAGGGTGGGTCTCAGACTTACCTAGGTCCCTGTTGTTGGCAGTGAGCAGCCCATTGGTCTAATGGTGGCAATCCAGCCAGCCCCCTCTTTGGTCATGGTGGCTCCATGCTGGAGCTGGGGAAGGTGCTGGGATATGTCAGGAGGCTGGTGCAGTGCAGGCAAAGTGTGGGTTTGTGTCTATGAATGAATCAACTGTCTATGCTTTGTAGTTACATTCAGGGTGACAGAGTTATATAGTACATGGATTTTGAACTACACGGGTGTGCCACTGTTGAGGGGAGACACAAAGATTGTTCTCAGCCTCAATAGGTTACATATCTGACACCACATTCTCAGATCCTCCAGATTGGGACTGCAAACTTGGTGATTTTTGGTGGCCACTTACGCATATTACCCAAAAATCAGAAACACATCACCAAAGAGAAGTGGGGACAGATTTGCACCTGCCAGTGCAAATTTAGGAATTATGCAAATACAGAAATGTTATGTTAGCCCCAGCTAAAGCAGACCCAACTGAATCAATAGGAAGTTAGTAAATCAACATGTATGTAAGTTCCATTTATTTAATTGGTCTACTCTCCATTGGATCAACAATTGGGCTGGGTGGGTGGAAAGCTCAGTAAACTGGGAGTATGTACCTTAATACTGATGCAATCAATCAGTCTTTCTTTTGGGTTATAATCTGATATGTACTTACATGGTAGGAAATCCCCTTGAACTCAACAAACTCTGCTGATTCCTAAGCTTACATGTATCAACTGGGGCTGTTAGAAATTATTACCAAGTCACATGCATTGCCACATCTTATCTGTTATGCTTTTACTTTGTGTAATGATGCAGCTGCCCTTGCAATCCCAGCGACTGAGGCTACCATAAACTCACAGATTGTGTCCTTGATGACGTTACAGAACGTAAATGAGCAAAAAAAGACAGGAAAGTCATTTCCCAAGTTATTTCCTGTCTTCCTGCTCATTGCATTCCAGTGTATAAACCTTTAATTCATTTCAGAAAGCAAAGGTCAGGACAAAAAGGTTGGGGGTTGAGGGTAACTATGTCTTTTTGTCAAGCAAGGGGATAAGGAGCAGGTTTTGCAAAAATGTTACTTAAGCCAGGTGTTCCTCCTCCTACAGTGCATTAGAAAGCATTATCTTTAACATTTTTAAAAAACATTCTTCCCATCCCAAAATACTTTGCAAACCCTTTAAGTCTCAGTTCTGAAATTAATGCTGGATAACAAGGCAATAAAATTTGTATATCTGTATTAGCAAAGGCCATCAGTTTTGCCTTGCATTACTAGATAAATCTGTAATTGAACTGACCTCTAGACTCTTAGTTCCAAAGCAGCTTGATTCTTAAATGTCTAATTGGACAGTCTGCTTATTTGTTAAATTTACATGAATGAATATGTCCCCGGAGATTGAAAAGACAACTTTATGTGAAGGATACAGCCCTGTCTGGATATAAATACAAATTTTCTGTTTAAATTAGAAATACCTTCATTCACCTTTTCATAGTCAATGCCTTGAAAATTTAGACACCTGGAGTTGGATGTTTGTTTCCAAAAAGCTGAATTGGAGAAACTAAGTTTGCGCAATATATCATTGTGGGGTTTTTTTCTAATTAGAGTAGACTCACTCATTAAAATTGTCTCACATTGAGGTAGTAATTCAAGTTGAGACCAGCAATACGATATTATGTTTATATGCTGTCAAGTCATAATTGACTTATAGCATCCCTAAAAGAGCTTTCAAAGTACAGTTTATGAGATATTTAAGGAGTGGCTTTACCAGTTCCACATCCCAGTGAATTCCATGGCTGAGTGGAGATGGGAACCCAACCCTCCAGAGTTCTAGTCTGTCGTTCTACTACACCACACTGAGTATCCCAGCAATATGCCAGCCTTTATAAACAGCTTTCAGTACAGGAATAGAAATTGACTTTATGCTGTGGTGCTACATTTTCCCAAGGCATCCTGGTATTTTGCCTTAGAGCAATAAAGTTGATGCTCATTCCCATTTCCATGTACATCACTGTTTTTCTTTTTAAAAAAAAAAAAATCACACAGTCGATACATGGTAGCTTTTATAATAATAATCATCATCATCATCATCATCATCATCATCATCATCATCATCATCATCATCATCATCATCATCATCATCATCCCATCTCTTATTAGAGCCTGTGCCCCCATATGCCACATTAACTCCACTTGTTTTTAGAGTGCTCAAAGACTCTTAGTTACATTTTCTGCAAAAGAAACTCTCACAACGACCCCTAGAGTTGTTAAAACTCACTCAACTTTCAGAGCGACTCCATGACTCACAAATGCTACAAAGTGATGTTAAGAGGTGAACATAAAATTAAATCCTCTTTTCTCCCCATCCCATCCCACTGATCAAAACACCTCTGCTCTCCATTAGTCTTTCTTCTTGACAGTGAGTATTTCCAGTTACAAGGCCCTGACAGGAGGAGGGGTTAAAAGTTAGTTTTAGTGGGATGGAGACTCTGGGAAATGGATTTAGCAACCCCTCCTTCCCAAAAGTCCTACTAAGTTTTATAATTCTCCCCATTTTTGGGGGATACACAGGTGGCCCAATTTTGAAACCCATTCACTTAGTCTTGGTTGTAGGCTCTGAATGTTTGTAGGCTGACATTAGTTCTGGAACAGTCTCACAAATTAACTCTGAATGGCACATAAAACAATTTCGAGGTATGGTACTGTCAGTTCAGATGGCTGCATAACTGAGTGGTTTAATATCTGGCTACAGAGCCTGAGGTTAGGAGTTCAATTCCCCACTGTGCCTCCTGCAAAGTAGAGCCAGCCTTTGTGGCCTTGGGCAAGCTGCACAGTCCCAGAATGCTCACAGATAAAGAAAATAGTAAACCACTTCTGTGTATTCTCTACCTGGAAAACAGTGAAAAGGTCACCATAAGTCAGAAATTACTTGATGGCACATGATAATTATATTGTCAGTCTACAAAATAAGGGCAATAGTACCTTCCTACTTCTATTCCTAGAGAGTGCTTTTCATGCATTCTGCATTTGATCCCAAAATGAGTATATTGCCACCACGCTGCTAGTAACTAATAGCCTTAGAACACAATCCTAACTGGCCAAGATGGCCAAGTGTCAACTGAGCTGACACTAGACCATCTGAAGCTGTAGTAAATCCAAACTCATCAGCCTATGGTTGTTGGAAGGTCTACCTTCATCCTGGCCTAGCATTCTCATTGTTTCCCTGGGATAGAGGAGGCTTGGATCTGAGGTATCTCAGCTCCTAGCTATTTCTCTACCTACTTGTTGCATGTTTTGTTAGCCAACCATAGCCAGCAAAGATTATTCTGTCAGTGGATCTCTGAGATTATTTAGCAGAAAACAGATGAAGCTTCTTTCTTACCTTTATTCCCCTGCAACTTTTTACAGTGTAGAGTCCATACTGCATGGTTAGCTATCCAAGAATTTGTTCTGGAGTTTCCCACCTTTTGCCCTCATACATATCTGTACACAACCATGAAGCAATTAAAGGTAATGGAAACATGGGTCTACAAAGTCTGTTTGCATGCTGAACCCTGACAGAAATGCCCTCCTAAAAAGTGACTGTGTGATAAGTGCTTATTCTTTCAAAGTGTAAAATGGTGCCATGTCAAAACCATCAAAATATACCCCTTTGTTTTAGAATAAAATGGTTGTGGTAGAGGATCACCTCAAAATCTATAATATTCCTCCTAGGAAAAATTATATTTAACAATATATCTTTACTTTCCAACTTGCTATCTGGCGTGCCATTATAATTTTACAGCCTGTTGCACTATTACGTACAAGATAGGATGCTGTCAATTAAAAGACAGAACCAAAGGTTATTAAAATATTTTCTTTCATTTTTCTCTTCTTTGAGTAGAGATGTGGGAAAGCCTATACCAGTGCAGGCAAACCTTTTTCGGCTCGAGTGCCCAAAATGAAGGGGTGGGGAAGAAACCAGTCGCTGCCGTGCCGCCTGGAAGACTAGAACCGGAAAAGGAAGTGGCAGTTTCAGGGGGAATCATGGGGACGGACAGGAAGTTAAAGAGGGAATCATGGGGACAGATAGGAAGTTAAAGGGGGAATCATGGGGACGGACAGGAAGTTAAAGAGGGAATCATGGGGACAGATAGGAAGTTAAAGGGGGAATCATGGGGCCGGACAGGAAGTGCAAGGACCCAGAACAGGAAGAGAAAGGGGGGATCCCAGCTGCAGCCACTTCAAAAGGTTTGCCGCGTGCCAGAAAAGAGGGCTTCGTGTGCCAGCTGTGGCGCGCATGCCATGGGTTCGCCATCACTGGCCTATACAGAAGGATGTTTAAAGAGTAAGGTCTCAAGTATCTGGAGAAATGGTTCTCCTCCCCCCTCTCCAGTTTTCTTAGACTACAACTCCCATTCTCATGCAAAGCATAATTCAAAAGATCTGCAAGATTCCTTCTTCTCTCCTTCTCTTCCATCCATTAGTGAAACCCTAATGCTGGCCTGCACTTCCATGCATCAATGTCAGAGACAGCTCTGCCTAGGATACCTTACTTTTCTGTGAAAAAGAAGGCACAACACACTTGTGATCTAAAAAGAGTTGCATTTGTCATTGTTGTTATGTGCCGTCAAGTCACCCCTGATTTATGGCGACCCTATGAATGAATGATCTCCATAATGTACTGTCCTCAGTAGCTCCGCTCAGCTCTTGCAAACTCAAGACTGGCTGTGGCTTCCTTTAGGGAGCCCACCCATCTTGTATTTGTTCTTCCTCTTCGCTGCTGCATCAAACTTTTCCCCAGGATTATCATCTTTTCCAGAGAATCCCATCTTCTCATTATGTGCCCAAAACAGTCCTACAGATGAGCAAGTACAAAGATGAGTACTACACATGATCAGGGTAAAACAATGAATACATCTGCAAACTATGCATAAGTAAGTCACACTTTTAAGACATGCTCTTCCACCCCCTGGCCTGTGTTTCATTTCAGTATTCAATTCCTCCTGCATCACAACTTCATTCTCTCTTGCATTGATATGGTCATGTTTACAGATGGTCTCTCATGTTGGCTGGAGGGTTCTGGGAGTTGTAAGCCAGAAAAAGAAAATGTCTAAACTCTTCTCTTGCATACATTTCCTCTTTTGATGAATATCTGTTAGAGTGTCCAATGTTTTTCACATCTACATGGATGGGGTGTTTCTGCACAGAAAAGAACCTGTCCAGTCAGGATACAAAATGCAAATAATGAATATAACAAATGAATTAAACCAGGTAATGGGCAAAAAAGTGGCTGAAATTCTGTTGTGCACTTACATAAATGGCTTAACTTTTGGAATCAAACTGCCCATGGGTTAACAATCTCTGTAGATCTTAACTATTGCATACTGAGTCACACAACTTGCTGTGCAACTGGTAAGGTCTACAAAGATTACTTTACAGCAGCAACTTGCTGTGCAACTGGTAAGGTCTACAGAGATTGCTTAACATACAGCAACTCACTTCTAAAGGTAATGTCATTGGCATAACTGTACTAGAGGATTTCAGTCATTGTTACACTCCTCCATTTCCTAACACCATATCTTTTTAGATTGTACTGTTTTTATTTCAAGTCATTAATTTGATTGTTGGAAGGAGTTGGCCATCAGTTGTTACCACTAAATAACTACTCTATTTTTCAAACATGAGGGTATCCTTTAATAGAAATCACTTAAGCTCTTCCTGGATTCATACAAATCTGTGGCTTAGTTGGACATTCAGCACACAGCAGACCTGCATAATGTGGCTTAAGTCATGGGGCAACTGAATGTTAGATATGCTATCAAGATTGAGTGTTGGATGTGCTGATTCATCCGTGGGATCAGTCTTCAAACACCTTTCAGTGCAGGCAGCTTTAGCTAATTTAAAATACAGTTCATTAAATAGCAATTAAAGAATTTAATTTGCTTCACCTGTTTAGTGCTTTCAGTCCCAGTCTAGTGTGTTTGCAATATCCTTCAAGAATGCACGGTGGGACAAAACAATAATATAGTTTTTTGGTACAGAGCGGAGTTCACTTGAAAGGGAAGCCTGAAAAATATAAGGAGAGTTTGGATTACCAATACAGAATGGATAGCTTTCTTAACATATTGTAACTCACAGAGTATTTTGGGCAAAGACATAGTTAACCTGGGGTAAACATAGCACAGTAGGATCCTGTATCTGCACAATAAGTATGTGCGCTTTCAGTCATCCGTAGTTCATCGCAGTCCTATATGCAACATACAAGGGGATGGACCATGTGGCCTTTGTCCCGCCTCTTTTTATGTTGTATATAGGGGTCACTCATATCCACAGTTTTCAGCATTCATGATAGATTATAGAATGAATCCCCTGTAGATAGCGGGGTGTGTGTGTGTCCAACTGTTAAGGAGTGCAGTACAGCATGCAGTAAGTATGACCCACTTCAGAAGGCTGTGGTGACGATTGAATGAAGCACCCATTTTGAATCTTTAGAACAGCTTGAGAATAACAATATTTCAAATGAAAAATAATAAATGTTCTTTGTTTATTGATATCAATAGATCAACTGAGTAAAACAGATGATAGGAAGACTAATTATTGAACTCACTTGCATTCTTCAAAGACTGTGTAAATTTTGTTTTACCCAGAGCTCACTTTCAAACTGATGCAAAACTAAACCAGATGCATTAATTCGTTTATTTACTTTTCCATTTCATGTTATGTATGCAATGAGCATTCTACTAATCAAGACAGAAAGTACAATGCAGACAACTGTTTCGAAAAGCCCGGGGGGAGAATGAAACAATCCCTAATGCACGTAAAATATGTTATTTACTCTTAGAATCCAGCTGCTCCATTTGTTGTTCAGCTTAAAGCCAATCTTCAAAGACAAAAGAGTCTTGCAAATAAAATGTGAAGGAGAGAAATAGATTAGAGTGATGTTTGCATAATGATAAAGGGAAAAGTACATTTACATCAATGTTACCAAATATCTTATCTCAGATGTTTCTGGCTTCAAGGTCACTATTAATAAGAGGGGTAGGAATCCTTTTGTTAGACAAGCAGGAAAAGTAATAAGGGGGGGGGATCCGTATTAGGGCAGTACTTGTATAAACCAACCAAAAGGCCACAAAATAATGTAGCTTTCAGGTTCTCTGGAATTCTTTATCCAACTAGACGATAAACAAAACAAAGAGGGAGTGAGGAAGACTTTTCAAGCTGTGAAATATAGACTTAACACAGTCTTGAGAGAACTGCTGGATAGCTCAGTGGTTTAGGTATTAGACTGCAGAGCCCAAGTTTGGAAGTTTGATTTCTGCCAAAAGGCCACAAAATAATGTAGCTTTCAGGTTCTCTGGAATTCTTTATCCAACTAGACGATAAACAAAACAAAGAGGGAGTGAGGAAGACTTTTCAAGCTGTGAAATATAGACTTAACACAGTCTTGAGAGAACTGCTGGATAGCTCAGTGGTTTAGGTATCAGACTGCAGAGCCCAAGTTTGGAAGTTTGATTTCCGCACTGGGCCTCCTTGACTGGGGCTGGCCTCAATGATCCATAGGGTCTATTCCAGCTCTGCAGTTCCAAGATTGTCATTATCAAGATGGAATGTGGGAAGAGCTACCAGATGGCCAGATTAAGTCCAACTAGACGATAAACAAAACAAAGAGGGAGTGAGGAAGACTTTTCAAGCTGTGAAATATAGACTTAACACAGTCTTGAGAGAACTGCTGGATAGCTCAGTGGTTTAGGTATCAGACTGCAGAGCCCAAGTTTGGAAGTTTGATTTCTGCACTGGGCCTCCTTGACTGGGGCTGGACTCAATGATCCATAGGGTCTATTCCAGCTCTGCAGTTCCAAAATTGTCATTATCAAGATGGAATGTGGGAAGAGCTAGCAGATGGCCAGATTAAGTTCTAGGTGCCCTGATGATTTCATATTCCACCAAAGGCTGCCCCATGGTTGATTTGTGGACAGGGAGCAATTCAAAATATTCTGGAAAAGCATCTCCTGCTGTACTATAGACTAAGATGACTGAGACGAAGAGAGAAATAAGCAATGGCCTATTGACTAATTTTGAAAATATGAATTCCTGTGCTTCCTGGACTTATCTCCGTGCTTAGGCACAACTTCTAAGGGTCCGTGTTTTGTTTAGTTCAAAAGCAGATCTTGGAAATTTTACTTTTTGGAATTGAAATAAAAGTAATGGCTGACTATAAATTTTTGGGTTTGGTTTGTACTCAAGGATCACTAGCTTTGTTTTTTCCTAAGCTCTTTGTTAAACATCTCGGACATGAACACAGTCCACTTGTTCTATGAATACAGTAGCCATGCATGAAGGAGCCTGATTAGGCTGAATGAAGCCATGTTTTCTTCTTTCCTTCTCCCATGTGCCTGGATTTAGAGGGGGCAAAACAGTGAGATGTCAACAGCAACAAGAGACCTGGACTCACCCACCTGTATCCTCATCCAGCACTCGTTGCCTAACCAATGCAATTTTTCATACTTGTGAGTCTTTGGTGCTCCTGCTGCAACATGGCTACTGCTCTGCAAAATGCAAAATGTGGTGTAGTGGGGAGAGCAGGAATATGCAGAGGTTGGAAAAGTTACTTGGGGCAGGGGGAGTGACAATTTCCAAAATCCCTTAGCCAACAGGAGCATACTGTTGGGAGCAGTAGTCCAAAATGGGCAGGGGGAGTGACAATTTCCAAAATCCTTTAGCCAACAGGAGCATACTTCTGGCTCAGCTTGGGAGTAGTAGTCCAAAACAGAACTTTTCCAAGCAGTGGAGAGATGGGAAAGTTACTTATACTGTATATATTTTAAATTTGTTCTAACATCTTATTGTACCGAAGGAATCATGACCTAGTCTTATACTGACTCAGAGGAGCAGGGGATGCAGAGGGCTCACCCATGGACCTCCTCATGTGAGTCACAAAGCAGAAGTGGTTAATCCTTGGGGCCAAAAATCGTGTTGGTATCACACAGCATAAATAGGAAATCATGCAAGCATTGTGTGCAATCTTGTTGCTTCCCCTTGTACACTCAGAAGTGTCTGAGTTGCACAATTAGTTGTGCACTCAGTTGCACAGCAGATGAGTGGCAAAACGCAAAAAACACTGGTGCAATTGTTCTAACATGCATAATATTTCACAAAAGCATGTTGACCCTTGGTTTTTGGTTTGCTCTAGATATTCAGCATAAACAAATAGAATGTTTAGGCTGCTATACATCATGGATGGGCTCTGCTTGACTGGCTGGGTCACATGCCACAGGCAAGCTCTTTCACTATGCAGCATATGACCCACCAGGCAGAGCAGAGAGTGACATAACAATCCCAGAACAGTGAGGGAACTACTCTTGCTTGGAGAGCTCTGCTGTGCATCATATTGACTGGCTATCCCTTGTGATGTCACAAAGAATCTTCCGGCTCCTGGGAGCTGCAGTCCATGGACACCTGGGTAACCCAAGGTTGAGAACCACTGTTCGGATCTAACTGATATAACAGTCCAGTGGAGCAGTTTTGCATTTAATAAAAAAAATTCTCTTTTATAAATCAACTAGTCAGTTGGGCAGGCATAGATATCAAAGAAAAAGAAAAAAATAGTGGGCAACTCACTTGAGGTACAGAGGAGAGTCACAAAGCTTTTCTGGGATCGCTGATTGCCTGGACCTAATCGTACATGCATTCAACTGTACACAGATACAGGGGCCCTGTTCACAGAAATACACAAAGGATGAAACTCTTCCCACATCCTATACACATTCCTTCTACTGTATATGAGGAATGAATATCTGAAAAGGCAAGGCTTGATCATGTCATTTTGGGTTCTTCATCCAAAAGACGGGATTCCACCAGCAGCACCCCTTCACATACAAGAGCTGACCAAACTGGCTGCTAAAATTTCACTACATCACCAGCAACAGGACAATATTCCTCTAGCTCACCTGAGGGCATAGGCAAGGTTAAAGCATGAAGGGCAACCTATGCAATAAAGCAAAATTATGTCCTCCACTGCTTGGTCATTGCTTCCTGTTTCCCAGCATTTGTCACCTGAGGTTACCAGCCTACTTTGTCCAATGATAGGGCCGGGCTTGGTTGACAGTTGAAACAGCATTCAGTTTGCTTGTATGGACATCGATTATTTTATTGTGAAATGTGGGGAAATGTTGGAGTTGCCCCGCAGGTGCCAACGCTTGTATAAGTTCCCTTTTCCCCATTATGTCTGTCTGCCTTTTTGAGATGTGATGAAGTGACTAACTTGGAGTAACAGTTTTGTATAGTCTTAAGAATAAAATCCAAAAGGTTGAGGGAGCAATTGAACTAGCAGGCTCAGCACTTTGAAGGACTGTAATGCAGTCAACAGTATGACTCTTTTGTCTGCATCTAGTTCTAGAAACACAAGAAGAAATTTATGTAATTAGAAAGGTGGCTCTGAAATATGCAAGGGAAGCAGATATGATCAACTCTGCAGTACTGTAATAAATTAATTGTTCAGGAAAGGCACCAAGCTATATGTAATGCACTTCAGTGCTTGTAAAACTGTCATAACAAGGGGGGAGATTTTTCATTGTTAGGAAAAAGTCTAGGGAAGAAGGTGGAACCGAGTCCTTGAAATGATGTTTCAACAACTCTGTTTTGAAAGGCACTCTAGTGTGCACAGTTTGCTAGAAAATAAGCATAAATCATAAGAAACTGAAATGTAGTCAAGTACAGAGTTAAGCACCCTTTATGGGGTGCAGTGGCCCTGATCCAACAGAGCACAAGAATGGCATGCAGAATAACAAATGGAAAAAGACAAGAAGCGGGAATCAAGTGCATGGTGTCTGAGGAAGGGAAAATCAAAGAAGTCTGATGTCTCTATCAGAGCAGTTGATTAGTGGTAATCCATCTTTTCTCATATGAAAGAATTTAAGACAAATGGGCCTACAGATGCTTAACTGTGTGCATGACAATACAGATTCCGAAGTCAGATCATGTGGGGTTTTATAGTTTTCTAGAATCAAGTCTTCAGCCTACATTTTTAGCAATGTGGTTACAACCAGGTGTGCTCTTTCTCCTAGACAGGCCTTACGTTAAAATAGTACACAGGTATCTGTCCTTCTGGTGAAGATAACTACTGATGCATTTATCCAGGGGCCACTACCTTTCAGAGAAAGCCTGATGGGAACCTCTGATATTATTCCCCATCTCTGGAATGCAATCTTCATGGAGATTCCCATACATATTTCTTGGAGCCTAGAAAATTTCTTTTCATATTCTGGTGGAACTAACAGTGGCATCGGTGGTGGTGATTAGATAACTTCCTGAGTATTTGCTATTTTTTGTTCTTGGATATGCCACAGACTGGCTCTCTGGAAGCCCTTTTATTAAAATAGTCACTTAGGTATCATTCTAAAAGGACACAGATTTGCATAGAATTTTCATTTTTTAAAAAAATGCCCCAAACCTCTTCAGTAGAAAGGGATAAATGCAAATATACTAAATAAATAATAATACAAGGACACAAAGACCTGAACTTAACTGGTAGTCCCCAATAAATCAATGTGATTTATATAATTCAGCAACTAATTAAATGGATCTGTTCTGGAGGAGAAGGCCAAAATAGTTGTTAACTGTACTTTTCTTATTTTGTCAAGCTGCTTACCCGTATATTCAAAATGAAACAAAATATTTCAGCAGAAAATTATGTCTAACCTTCAGAGGGTCTTGACATTACAAGATGTGCTACAGCTGCAAACCAGGAAATGCTTGTAATTTGTGGTCAATAATAAATAATTTTTTTAAAAAAAGCTGTGATTTTCCACCTATAATGCAGTACTTGTAAAACTGGTTGTTCTCCCACCCTTCACCCCAGACTGGAATCTTAAACTTTGAAATCAACAAGCATGGGGTGTTGAAGATACATGTTTCCTACCAGAGGGAATGATACAAATTGAGCCCATTGTTGCTGCGTGTTAAAAACAGACTTGCACACATGCAGGAGACCAGGCTGGCTCCATCTTTGCTGTCCTTCGGCAAGCAGGCGAAGACCTTTCTCTCTTCAGGCAGGCTTGTCCTTAGTGACTGGCAATCTAGGAGACAATAAATGGGATGGTTTATATTTTGTTGCTTCTAAACCTATTTTTTGTAATGTTTTTAACCTAACATTTTAGATATAATATTTGCCTGTTTCACAAAAATAACAGAAACATCAGTAGCTCTTTAAAGAAAAATCTATAATGTCATAACTGCTTTGGCATTACAGCACACACTGCAGATACATGAAGTGTGGTACAGAATTGCAGGGATACATAATGTCCATAGGATTAGAAGTACAATGGTGCCTCGCAAGATGGGTGCTCCGTTTAACGACAAATCTGCATTATGACAAGGTTTTTGCAATCGCAAAAGTGATCGCAAAACAACATTTTGAATGGGGGAATTTCGCAGCGTGATGATCGGTTCCCTGTTTCGGGAACTGATTTTCGCTTCCCAAGGATCAAAACAGCTGATCATCGGGTTTTCAAAATGGCCGCTGGGTGCTCAAAATGGCTCCCCGCTGTGTTTAGGAGCCATTTTTCGTTGCACAGGCACCCTTTTTCGTTGCACGGGCACCCGAAAATGGCCGCCCCTATGGAGGATCTTCGCTGGACGGTGAGTTCTTAGCCGATTGGAATGCATTAACCAGGTTTTAATGCGTTTCAATGGCTTTTTAATTTTCGCTTTACGATGTTTTCATTCTACAGCGATTTCACTGGAACGAATTAACGTCGTAATGCGAAGCACCACTGTAAGATCCCACTTCAGACTATTTCTACATCTAGCCAGACACTACCTGCTTGAACAGGAACTATTTCTTCAGAACCTTAGACAGAGGTCTTTCTCAACACATGTTACCTCATCTTTTACTAAGGGATTGAATTTAGAACCACCCTACATAGTGCCACATGTCTGAATTACAATCAAATTAGACTACTGCAGTGTGTTCTGAAGGGGGCTGTACTTGAATGCGAACATTTATTTTAACAATCTCTTTACTTTTATATGCAGAAACATGCCCCCACCACCCCTTTTTGCTCATGAGTTGTATTTACCTGGATGCATACCAAGAAACATTCATATTCCTGGAGAATCTTCCAAGACCGTCATTTAATCTGAAAATGCACTTAGTTTATTTATCTGCAGAATAAAGAACAAATGAATTGCACCCCGCTCTCGCTGTCAGTAGGAGTCGGCATAACAAATGATTCATTCAGCAAAAAGTAATGGAGTTGGGACATATTTTACATTCTGAAACCATTATTCCAAAATGTTGACATGCTGCTGAAAACTCATCTTGTAGACAATTTGGATTGGCTGGGAGTAGTTCATTAAGACACTTGTATCATTCACAAACTCTATAGAGGCAATATTGTCTAATTCCAAGGGGAAATTATATAACTGAGCAACGGGTTTCTATAAGTTTGCTTTTGATTCAGATATCCTTGTTTGGATTCCTGCTTTCTGAGGCTGCAGGGTTAGCTACAAGTAAGCAAAAACTTTTGTAAATCCAGTATCCCATGATGACTATGGCTGATTGCTCAAATAGCTTGATATTAAACAGCTACTTTAAAAGTAGATGCCCCTTCAAAATTATCCTTTTTATAATTTGAATTTACTGTATTTCCACCCTTCAGTACCACAGTATTCTCATTTTAGACAGACAGACAGACAGACAGACAGACAGACAGACAGACAGACAGACAGACAGACAGACAGACAGACAGACAGACAGACAGACCTCTTGGATCTAATATCAAAAAAGCTGACAAACATAAGACAAATGCAGTTCTGATTCAAATAAATCATTTCACTTTTATTTGAGAAGAGACAGAAATGTGCCCTTATAAGTAATTTATTGGAGTCCCAGGAGTTTTTTTTTTCAAAAAGTGATTCATGGGTCACCTCTCCTTTCACATGTTTAGCAATATCATAACCCACGACAGGAAAAAGTACAACATTATTTAATAACATATTAGGATTTTATCAGAAGCTTTTGTTAATGCCTCCATCTGATGACGCATGAAGTCTACTAAAGAAGAGAGTTCAGCGGGTTTGAGCAGATAGATGGATGGATTGATGTATGGATGAATTGGTAGATGGATGGAGAATGGAGAGTTCCCTGCCCAACCATGAAGTTTATTTGCAAGTCATTTTCCTACAGCTTGAGAGTAGGGACTAGCCTTACGAGACCCACTTTTAACAGCCCCAAAGCAGCTTAATTGGATACCAGACTATTTCCCTGTACAGTGGGCCCTCAACTTACGAACTTAATCCATTCCAGAAGTCTGTTCGTAACCCAAAAAGTTCGTAACTTGAATCAGCATTTCCCATAGGAATGCATTGAAATAAAGAAATATGGAATATAGCAATAAATGATAAATTAACTTGTAATTTAAAGATGAAGAAAAGAGAGTTGAAAAAGAACAATTTTTATGTAATATGGGGCAAATTTTTGGAATATGTGCTAATAAGGGGGAAAGGGAAAGCTCCAAATCAGGAATCTGTGCAGTTCTGGAGAAGAGGACAAAAAAAGAAGAAGAAGAAGAAGAAGAAGAAGAAGAAGAAGAAGAAGAAGAAGAAGAAGAAGAAGAAGAAGAAGAAGAAGAAGAAGAAGAATATGGCAAGAGGTCCCGTACATGGTGGTGGGGAACACAGTTATTGTATTTGAGTTTATATGTTTTATGTATATGATTTTGCTTTTGTTATATTAAAAAAAAATTTAAAAAAGGAATGCATTGAAAACCATTTAATCTGTTCCGGCTGTTTTTGGTTAAATCGAGGGGCAGTTTACAAGTTGATTCATTAGTTCCCATAAGAACTAATGCAAAGCTGCTTAATCCGTTCCTACCACTAGGGGCAGAATTTTTCTTTTCTTTCCTTTTTTTTTTGGTTTGT